CAGCTCAGCTATTGGTTTCCTCCTATGGCTCAGCTATTGGTTTCCAGCAACCAATCAGCATGTATTCTCACTGGTACGCTAGATCTTTGTTCTGCAGATGAAGCAGTTCTACAAGCTCCCACTCTGGAAAAGGAGGAAGCCCATTCTGACCTCCTTCTTAGAAAACCAAGCTCTGTTTTCAAGTTTATCCAGATCTTCCTTACAAAGAACTCCCAGGCCTGTTTTAGAAATGCTACTGTAAATAATGTGCTATCATCATGCAGTACCCTTCAAACATAACTTTCACAAACACACCGAAAACAGAATTTTAATCAAGCTGTAACTGCTGATTTGATTCTGCTAAGGATTGTACAACTTTTGCGGTGCAGTAATAATAAGGCTTATTTATTAAGTATTTTAGTTTTAATGGACATATTAAATGAATAGCTTCTGTGACAGGGCTCACAGCCAGTGGTTAAAACACTAACCAATGATCCAAATGAGTGTGGACACCTATGTACAGAGGGGAAGTTGTCTGGTAGCCTGCCTTCATCCTGCTTCCAAGTCAACTGAATGTCTAAGGAACATTGCATTTGACATATCAGCATAACGTCTAGTATATAGATTCAGTCCATGAGATAGTTTTGTGGATTTCATGAACGTTAACAATGCATGGTCTTTATGTACAAGACTCTATGCAATCATGTTAGACACATGAATGTACAGGGAGCTCAAAGGCATACAGATGAATTCAGTGTGAGTGGTCACAACCCTGCTTCCCCACTATGAAGAGGCTGTACATACATATACCTTGTCATATGAAGCACAAAAGTTTGGAAGCAAATGGAGTATTAGTGTGTTAGCTTTATAAATACAATTGAATTGTCTATTTAAAGTAAGACATGATTCAGTTTAAATTCCATTGGTTCTGATGCCAAAGAAAATATCAAAGACCAAGCAAACTTAGGAGTCCTTTGGTATCTACTGTGGACTGCAGGCAAGGGTTTGGATCCTGTGAATTCAAGCACCTTTGTGTTCAGTTAGTAGGATCCAACCCAAAATGTTCCATGCATGAAGATGGCTGATAAGCATATTCCAGTAGTATTAAAGGATAACATGGAAATACAATCAAATGTAGCAATGTTCTGCTCTAGAAATGAATGCCAAGCAAAATTCACTTGTTTGTCTGAAGCCAAAGAGTTCTAGCTGTGGTTATCAGATTTCTAATTACCACTGCTCAAAAGCAAAATGAGAAATTGGACTCTTACCAACATAAACTTGAGCTATGAAGGAATGTCAATTGGGTGATATTAATTTTAACTTTTACCTTCTCATGGTAAAAGCTAAAATTTTAACTACAAAAACTCAAATTCTCTGGGTCATTCATTCCACCAAGAATTCTAAGTACGTAAACTCAAATTCTCTGGGTCATTCATTCCGCCAAGAATTGGAAGTACTACATTTAACAAATGTTAATGAAATGGTAATGTCTGTGAATTCTGAGCTAAGCTGCCCTGCAGGCTTTTAAATTCACAACTACAGATGAAGAACATGCTCTTGAGTTGCAACCAACTCAAGGCTACCCCTTCCATGGGGCATTCCAGGCATGAGATGAGCAGAGGTGGTTTGCCATTATAAAATGGATGGCTAAAATCAATGTAATGTTCATTTTAAAAAATGCAATACCAGGCATACAACATCCAAGGAAAAAACAAATGGCATGTTTAAAACAAAAGGAAACAGTAATATTTACTTGCAACCTAATTAAAATTGGGGGAACTATGTATGCTACCCTGAGCCGCTTAGAAGAGAGGTGGAATAAACATGTGGCAGACTGATGTTATTTGCTAAGCTATTTGTAGGGGGTACAATTTTTAAAGATACTCAAATTTCTGCTTATATTTGGGATTCTTATGCTTGGATCCCACAGAGGATTTCCAGAGATTGGGGGGGGGGGGATTTTTGTAGATTGCAGCATGCCTCAAACTATTCCTCCTCCTGTTCAGGGGTCCCCTTTCCCCAAGGCTATAAGCAGGAGAGGGAATGGGGGAGTCTTGGTCCCTGGAAATCTCTGGGAGACTGAAACCTTTCTTCCCCTGCTTTTTTGTTTTATCTTCGCATCAATCTGGGTCCTGCAAACGGAATGGCCCCATATACTTTATAGGCAGTAAACTCTAAGCACATCCTGGGACTTCTATCAAACATCAGCATCCTGTGTCGCTTCACAGCCCCCCCCCCCAAAATAACCTCCAATGCAACGGAGGGGCTGATGCTGGGGTAAAATTGAGAACCCTGGTGCAGATTTCCCCATTTACACTGAAAGGGACTCTCCGGATGCTCTCTTAACAATGCTCCACCAACCACTCCCAAATGATCAGGGACTGAATAAAAAACCAAACAACCCCCATGATTGTTATGTAAATAGCTAGTATTACATAAAAGCTTGTACAGGCACTAGGAAAAGAGTTCATGCAGTGTTGCAATAAATAGGTTCTACAGCAGTTCTCAAGACTCATCTCTTTGGATTAAAATTTTGTTCTTTTATCTTTGGATTAAGTCTCACTTTCCTGGTGCAAGGTGCAAGATAGTCCTTTCTAAAGAGAAGATGCCTTCCACATATTGAAAACCACCTTTGGATCCGACCTTTACACTTTCAACCACAGAACTCCTGCTCTTTGAAAAAGTGTTTTTGACATTGACCGATCATCAAAGAACACACTGTTCCAGCTGGTTCAGAGGTCTGTAATGTGACAGAATCTAATTCGCAATGTTATGTATCAGAAATGATTAAATACTCATTTCTTTTAAATCAGATATTCACCATCGGCACAAGATAGCAGGTCTCTCAGCTGGTGCAAAGTACCCAATTCAAAGGTCTCGGCTCTGGACTGAGGCCATCACATAATGAAGAACCTCTATTGTTCACAGATAGGCTGGCATGTTTGCAAATTTAATGCTGGAACACATATAGCATCACTATGTTTGGATGAGCAAGGCCTTCAGCAGTAAACTAAGGCTGCTGCCTAAAGAAACAATCCTGCATACTCTGGTTATACCACTAGGACCCACCTACCCAGAGGGCTACTCCAGAAACTTGAGAACTTGCCAAGACAACTGTTTTTTTTTAGAACCCCGTCCCTCTGAGCACTACCACTGTACATCTTCCAATCAATGTAATGGAAGCTCATCTGGGAGACTTGCAAAGATTGCACAAAAATGAATGAGGAGTCTGGATGTTAGGCAATCAGACACTAAACACATGACACAGAAGCAAGTCATGCTGCTTCCAATGGAATGTACTTCCATATCAGGGAGCAAGAAAGTGTTTCTACAGAGCTTTTTCTAGCTCCCAGTTTGGCACTTCTGTGCCCCACTGACAATTCAGAGAAGGAATCACCCAGAAAGCAGGTAGGGTGTGATATGGCAGCAACTCTTTCCAATACATCTCAGCTTGTGCAAGCCACTTGTCTCAGGCTGGATCTACTGAAATCTCCTTCACTATGCACAGACATGGTGGACAGCCCAGGCAGAGTTTGTGGTATGTGTGGCTTGCACTGAGTGAGAGCCTCTGATTCCTGGAAAAGACTTCATAAACCTGTCCTGAGTTTATTAAATTACACAACACCATAAAAGCCAAAAACAACAGAATGCAACAGTGAAGCAAGCATTAGCTATCAAAACACCGTAATGTTCCAGTCACAATGAATTCCCAGTACGTACAGGGACCGAAACACTGTTTTCCTACAAATCTTATATTTTGTATATTTATGGACATATACAATGGAGGCTTTAGCCCTGCCTCAAAGATTTGGTTACACCACAGGGCTGACTTTATTTGACTCACTGCTGGCACTTGGAAGACCGCACAAGAACCCCTTTTCAAGCATCTATTTATTGGGCTTTCACATTGTTCCAACACAAAGCCAAACTCTGCCCCAACTTCACACACCATTAGGGCATGGATCATTGACTTTAGGTCTTCCTTGTAGGTTCCCTTCCTGCCCATTCATTCATGAAAGGTTTATTGCTCACCAGTTACTGATGAGCATCTCCAGGAAGCTGCAGGACGTTTAAAAAAAAAGAAAAAAAAAGAACTAGAAGGACCATTTACCTTTTCACATTGTGGGACAAACACAGTTAAAAAAAAAATAAAGAGGAGTTCAGTAGTATCTACAGGACAGGTCTACCACATGATGTTCCATTCTGATCATTTGAACCCTCTTACAAATGGTTTTTCACACCATTTACCATAATAAAGAGCCCCAAGAGTGGTCAAGACAAAGGTCAAGATACCATTAGGTCAGTTTATTGCAACGACTATTTTCTTTACTTATCTTAAAGCATTCTGTTCTCTAGTCTAGTGACCTATAGAATAAATACAGCTTCAGCAACTGCCTATGGATATTGTTTTATTAAGTTTCCCCCTTCCTTCCTTGGGACTGGATCCAGCACACCTGAACAAGCCGAAACGCAAGAAAAAGACTGTTGTGGTCACTTGCCCTAAGTCAAACTTATTGTATCCACAGTTGTGTTTCCACTGGTGTGGGATCTTGTGTAAATAATCCCAGCACCTTCTTCATTCTCAAAATGGCTCCCTGAAGTACAATATAAGAGAGGAGGGAGACTGTTGCACAAAATCTTGTGTATCTGTGAAGTGTACATGAGCAGACTAGGATGGCAGAGGGAGATGAGACAGGAAGACGTTGCACAAAATCTTGCACAATCTTTTCTGCAAGTGGAACTATGCTAAGGAGATTTCTTTTTCCGTTTGTGCACTGCTGGATCGAACCCACAGGGTTTCTTCATTCAAAAGCTTAGAACAAGAAAGAAGATCCAGCTCATGCAATGTTACCCATGTGCATGTTGACTGCTGAAGAAGACGACAAGAATACATACTGGAAACAAATTCTGACTTTTACCCAAACAGAATCGTTGTCAGATCGATTTGACAGCATACAATAACAACATCACTAGGTACACATAACCCAAAGCTTTAGTTTCAGATGAGCAGAATCACTTACCGGATCACATCTGATAACTTTTGATAGGAAATGTGTGAGACATTGATAAGAGAGGAAAGTATTAGTGTTTCCAAGGTGAAGGCCTTGCACAGCTGCTACCACGCTACCAGCAGCAATCATGGAAGGTGGATTTGAAATAAACTTAACGTCTGTTGGGAAACAAAAGGAAACACAGGTGAGCCGGTTTATGTACATATCATTCCGCTTTTTGGGATACACATAAAAGAAACTTGGCCAGTTTTTTAAAGACTGGAATGGCAGCGATAGATGCATGAAAAAGAAATAGAAGCTATTAACCACAAGGTATAGATAGGGACTCTGGGGCAAGTGATGCTCTGTCTTCTTGGTGCTTGGGGGGGTCAACAGTGGGAGGGCTTCTAATGTCCTGGCCCCACTGGTGGACTTCCTGATGGCACTGGTATTTCTGGCCACTGTGTAATACAGAGTGTTGGACTGGATGGGCCTTTGGCCTGATCCAACATTGGCATGTTCTTATGTTTAAAAGACGTGGGTAGAGGCAACGCAAGTATGTGCTGCTGTGCCTGTGGACATGTGCTTCTGGGCCTAATTTCCTTTTAACAGGAGGGGAAAAAAAGTTGAGAAGGCCACAGATTTCTTTGAAAGGATAACCAACTCTTGCAAACAGTTCTGTGCAAAGTTATTCAAGTCAAATTCATTTAAATCAAATGGCTTAGACAGGAGTTGACTCTATATAGGACTGTACAGTTTCCTCAAATGTTATGTTCATCCATGTATTTATTTAGAAAGGTTTCGCCCCACCTTTCAGTAAAAAAAAAAAGAGCAGGAAGAATACAAATAATAATAAACAATACCGAGCACTTACACATGAACTAGTAGAAGCAATTACAAAGAGTTTTAAAAAGCAGCAACACAGAGTACAAGGATCATAAATACCATTCAAAACACTAGAGGATGGGATGGACTTTGCCTGGCTTAAAAACCATCACAGAAGCTGCAGGTTCACCTGCTTAGGAGGCAACTTTCAAAGTATGGGCATCACAACAGGAAAAGGCAACCAGCCACACCTGGAAAGGACTTGAGCAAAGCCCTCCTCTGAACTTCTTAAGGGATGGGCTTTTAGACAGCCAGGCCATTTTGAAAAGCACTTTCAAGTTGAGCCTTGAAATGGAAGTCAGTGGAGCTAAAAACTCAGCCTTACAGGCAATAAATCACAGTGACTGAGCTGGATGCCAGTAGAGCCAAGTCCATGAGGCAGGCAGGTGAGCAGACTGCAAGGGTTATGGCAGAGTGGTTGGAATTCTATCCTCAGCATAAAAGGAGTTCCCTTGAAATCTACAAGTTTGGTTTCTGGGAGCTGCCCCCCCCCAACAAAAAAAGATACGTATCATCTGATGATAGAATACTGGTGACAGCTGCTGAAGCTGGCGTATGATCCTCATTTCAACACTATCTGGACAAAACCTTCCTGGTCCATCCCTAACATACCTAGGTTCAGTGTTGAAGCCTGTGGTAGGAGGGGAGAACTGGCAAGAACTGGCTCCCCTCTACTCCACCAACCAGGAAACAAGGTTTGGATTCAACCCTGTATATTTATGCAATTCTCTAATTTTGCTTCCTAGTCATGGATGAACTTCATGCAAAAGAGCATCTAAAACCCCCATTTTATTTACAATTTCTGGGAAAGAGCCACTAAATACAATGAGACTTTTTGTATGGGCACAGGATTGCACTCCAAGGAATCCAGCCTCTCTGAACACAACGGGTTGGATTCAAGAATTTCCTTCTGCCCAGTGAGAAGCCTTTCTCTAATGGAAGGAATTTTCTCCATGCAAAGCAGGCTATTCACTTAGCAATAGGGAATCCCAGGATCCGACAACCAGGGGTTTATTTATGAATAAAAATCATTGACAAAAAAAAAATCTCATACTCTTTATGAAGGAAATTGTAAATATACAAGCAATCAGATTCTCAATCTTCCAACCAAGTGGATAAAATAGATTTAAATAAGCACTTCCCCTTCACAAATGTTCTGCCTCAACCTTTTCCCTTATCACTGACTGATCTCCGTCTTGGCAACAGGGATTTAAGTAAATGTGGCATAACTAAGTGAAGGGGTCCCAAGACCTGGCAGACAATCAGTTACATTCTGATGTGACACCACGCTGACAAGCGCCTGGGCCCACTTCCAGACTGCATTGCTGTAAGTCTTGCCACTAAGCCCCTCCCAGGGTTGCCTGGCCTATAACTGCAACTAAGAATGTCATTTCCCCCTTTTAAAAAAGTAGTAATTTATATTTCTAGGCTTTAGACTTGTTTGCATTTGACCATCTCATGCACAGCCAGGAATTAAAACATGGGAAACAGGTCTGTTTCTAAGAGTAAAGGTCAAACTAGAAAATGCCAACTTCTGTACAGCAGTTTGCGACCAAGACACCCTCTCACTTAGTGGGAGAAATCCATCCCCCAGAACAATTAACACCAGTCTTTATTGGCTTTCCAACCGGCCACTACTGAACAGTTTTGGACACAAAACCCAAACAGTACATTATCAACAAAATGGTCTTCAGGTAATATTAATATTAAAATCCTTTATTTTTCTGTTCTCTTTCAAAGACAACATATGTATCCTATTCTAATTTACAACTCTATGCCCCTTTTAATTGGGCAATTCACTTCATGGCAGGGGTGGGGATGACAATACAGTAGCATTTACAGACTACCATGGATGATTACATCAGTAGTAAGGTGATGAATGGATCAGATTGATCTCTGAAATCAGAGTCCACAGGTATTGTTATTTCAACATTTTGCCATCTCTGAAAACACCTTTCTACCAATTCGTATTTTCACATTTACTAGAAGAGATATATATAGGGAATATATATATTCCCAATATTGGTGTCCTGCTTGTCAAATGTTTTGACTGTTCAGCCTAATTTAATTTGGTGCCCTGCCCAGTTATGGAAAGTTTATTCTACTATTTAGATTTGGAACAAATATCCCATGCTTTAAAATAATGGTGAAGATTCATGGGATCATTCAAATAACAGCAAGTTTGGGAAATCCAGAAAGTATTTCCTTTTAAAGTGGTCATATGAACAGGAACAAGAATTCCTAGTCACACCCTCTTTCTTTCCTAGGTGGAAAAGTGATAATGGAGTTTAAATGACCAGCTTGTGTCTGTCCCCATAACCACTCCAGACAAGCGGCATGGACAGACTTTTTGTTGCGACACAACAAGGAATTATTTGAGGCAGAGACCACTAATTTCAGCATATTAATCAGGGGGCCCCTCTTGGCTGTAATTGGATGCCCCCAAGTGAAGAGTGTGGCATTATTGTCAGCCTCCATCGCCTCATCTCGCGCTATTGAGCGCTCAGGAACAAGGGGGCTTCGGTGAGATGAATTAGACCTGACACAGCGACAATAGGGAAGGGGCCCCCTCAATTGAAGCACACATCCCCAGTAGCCTATCTGAGACTTCATCCAAAAAGAATAAACAACTTCAGTGTTGTTAAAAGGGGGGGGGAGAGGAGAGGGAAGAATGCCAACCACCCTGAAGGGAGGACAAAGCACGCATCTAGGCGCTGTAGCGCTTTAAAAAAAAAAATTCCTAACAAGGCAAGTCACCCCTTTTCCTTTTTAAATGGAGCAGCGACTCCATCCGTCTGGAGAGCTGGGGGCTATGAATGAAAATCTTTTCATTGAGGCAAATCAAAACTCTGAACATAAATCACTGGCTGCGAGATGCAACAGGTTCCAACCGGTCACATACCTTGAGACTTCCAATTTTGGAAAGGCTCAGAGAATAGGAGGATTGTGGCAAACTGTTTCAAAGGAAGGGGCTTTGCTCCAGTGAAATCACATTAAAGACTGCTAGTAATCCTCCCAAAGGGACCGAGGATGTTTAGACAACCAGAGGCCCATCATGAAATACAGAAATCTCCTTATATTTGTTCCTATTAATCGTTTTGCTTCTGTTGAGCCAGGACTCCTCTCTAGCACTGATCTCAACCTGGATCAATGAAGCCCCATTTCCTCTTTGCCATGGCAGAGTCCTTGTTCAGCCTGCTAAACAACTCGTGGTAACTTTTTTCCACAACGTGAAAGAGGGCATTGGTGAAAACATTGAAAACAAATACATGAAAAATGACAAAGCAAACCCATTTTGTTGACAATGGGACCAGCAGAATAAAAGGAACTGCTCTTGGTACCACCTCTGCTAGGGATCGTCTGTGTATCCGGAACAAAGTGGCACACAGAAACCTTCAAACGTTTTTCCTGCTTTCACCTCATTGACACCGTCCTATTACTGAAAACAAGTTGTCATTTCGCTGTCTTCATGTGTTCTCTTCTTGTTTCTTGTAAAGCCCAGGTTGGGCTTCTATTAGTCTCTAACAGGCCAATGAGGGATTTTATTTTAATGGGCCTTGGCTCAAACCTCTTCAGACATTTGGTCTTAATAAAATGAGTTTGCCATTCAGATCAGTAGAGCACGACAGAGAAATAGCCAAATCAAGCCTGGCCACTGCAGAACTTATTTCTTTCTCTGATATCTGTCTGGGAAAACCTAAACCAACTACTTTCCCAAGAAAAATGGCGGCTCTTAGGGACAAATTCAACAACATAAAACCCCATTAAGCACTGTTTACTTAGGCAAAATTCCCAGTGACTTGGGGTTGGTGGCTCCCTTGTTGACCTCCAACACTTCCTTTAAGGCCCTGTTTTTTTGTTTTTGTTTTTTTAAATCCTGGACAAGGTTTGTATTCACCAATTCATTTTCCAGTTCTGGTATGGAGTTTAGAACAATGTTTAAGATAGGCCTTGGGACGTGCCTTCTAAAAAGAAACATAACAACGCTGACAGCAGATCAAAGTACTTGGCTCTTTGCAAGCCTCCAACCTTTGAACTATTCTTGTTTTCATCACTGTGGAGCTGCAACTGCCAGTGCCACAACCCAGGTTAAACATCCCCCATACCCCAAAGAGGAGGCTGGATGGGAAGAAGAAACAAACAAAAAGGGCTACTAGGCTAACAAGATGGCTACAAACCTGGCTGTTCCCCAGTAAGGGTTTGCTTCTCAGCAGTAACCCCCTTTTGATTTATTGAAACTGATTTTTGTTAGTAGGTTAAAAAGTATTTTTAAAACATGCTAATAATTTTAAGGACTTGGCAAGGAATGTCTCCCCCACCAAGTCCAAAACTGCCTGCCATTCTGCTGTCTGGTTCAGGATGAAAAGAAAGCCTGAAAACAGTCAGTATTTAACATATTTTCATTTGGAGATTCTGTGGCAATGTTTCTGAACCAGGCCTGGTAGTACAAGGGCCTGTTTAATGCCTGTAAGATTTAGGATTTTTTGACCAAATTCACCTCAGGCGTGACATTGATAACTCAGCTGAGAGTTACTTCAAGTATCCGACAGAGCATTGGATTTTCAATGCTATAGATGTTTATTATTTAAACTTGGTTATGCTTTGCCCATTTGGGACTGTTCCCTCAGATGCATCACATTTCACCAAATCAATATCCCCAGTCCTTTTATGTGCTAATTTTACAGCAGCACACTGCAGAGGAACACGTGCTGAGGCCATATTTGGTTCCTTGTTCTTTTGCCATTCCATGTCTCTCTCGCCTCACTGGAAGGAATCTTTTTTTTAAAAAAACAACCTACTCCACCTTTAAAGTTATCTATTTGCTACTTGGCTTAAAAAAACAGCAGCGACTGTTCTACCTGGACACCAGGAATGCAATGTTACATTCCTGATCCCACACTCCAGCTTGTTGTTTGTGAGGACTGGGGGAGGGGGACTGGCAATTAAGGAAATGAAACAACAGCAAGGAGAGCATGTGGTGTTCCAGAATGAGTCTGCACAGGCATGCACATGCGCACAGATTGCGCCTGAAACCCAAAACCAGGCCTCTGTGAAATTCTGGAGCATAGTCAGTCTCTGGCTCCTCTGGGGCCGCATGTACACATGGAATCAGCAAAGCACGTGGCCAGCTGGGTGTGGACAGTGGAGACTCAGCTCTTGGCCAGACAACCCTTCGTTGCACATACTTCATGTTCTTCCTGCCCTCAGCTAGCAACTGGGGGGTGGGGGGGAGAGAACACAACTTTAAATGTTCCAGGAAAAGCAGACGGAAATCTCTCACCCCCAGAACCAAAACAAACCCCAAGTTTTAAAAGCATTTAAGCTTACAATGCAGGAGCTCCTTGTCTGGTTTCCAAGACCTAGATCCTCTTTTGGCTGTAGCATAGCTGAGCTCCAAAGACGTTCTCTTTTCACACAGAATTTATTTCCCCTTGAAGCGCATCTTTCTAGAAAACTCACCTTTGGCCCAGTGTTTTGCCAACAAGACAACGCTAAGCATAGGCATTAACTATGCTGAATTTTGGAGCCTGATTTACACCTATAAGATTCTGGGCAGTGGATAAGGGAAGAGGGTATGATTGCTGGGGGTACACAGACAGACAGCACGCCTTTGGAGGGTGTGAGGCTCATACCTGTAGCGCATAGAGCCACAAAAGTCTGGGCGTGTTTACGTATGATCTGCTTGCTGTCCTCTGCCACAGGCATTTTAGCTAGAAAATGTTCAATAAAATCATGAGGGGTCATTGCCGCCAGATTCCATTTCAGCTTATTCACCAGAAGCAATTCCATTTGCTGCAGGGATAAAAAAGAAAGGGAAGGGGGGGAGAGGAATGGTTAAAAAGTTCCATTTCTAAACAGATGAAAACACATTGTTTGTTATACTTCCACAGCATCCTAGGGAGACTTTATTTTGGGTCTTTTGCACACGGTGGCAAGGCACACCATCTGAAACCATACTCTTGCCAAGCACGGCAGCAGCTATAATGCCACCAGAGAAGAACAGAAGCAGGCGGGTAAAATGCCTCTCCGCAGGAAAATTACATAATTCTCTTCCCAACGCCACCATCATCCAGCTGCTCTGAACCACAGTACTCCATTAGCCAGGGCTGTCATTTGGGCTCCAAACACAAGAGGGCGCCAGCCACCCATTTTTCCACCCCCATCTTGTTACTGTATCTTTTTTTGGGGGGGTGAGGATTTAATTTATTAGGGAATTTTCATTCAATTAATTTCTGCACAATGTGGAGGACTGATTCTCCCCATCCAGCTAAAGGATGTCTGATTTACAAGCCACCATCACTTTCTTTATTCAAAGCAAATATGCCTGGGATTGTAGTTTAACATTCTGAGGGTCTATTATTGAAAATAAATCCTAGTGAGTTCCATAGGATTACTCCAAAAGGCATACGATTCACATGTTTCACACCCAAAAATGCCAAAAACTGGCCTGATCTTTAATCCATTCAGCCATCTACAATTTATTGGTTCTTTCTAGTGAGAATATCTAGAAGTTGCATAGGTAAATCGATAATCTTTTTAGAGCAAATTCATGCAGTTAGTTTTGAGGGGAAGATCTGGAGGAAATTATTGATCGTTTTCTCTGTGTCATTTACTGTTTTGTTTTTCTGATGATATGAAAATGAAATTACCAGTAATTCGTTGGGTCTAATGGAGTTGTCAGTGTAAATGCACAATTTTTCTGCAGTTAGAGGAATAGTCTCCTTCATTTTTGAAGCCACAAACATACAGGTAGCTCCTAGAAGTTGCAAACGGCTTTTCTTGAGGGGTTCAAAGGAGAGATATCTGTCCAAATAATTCATAGCCAAAGGGAAAACCTCCTCTTCGCATTTCTGTTCCTCACAAACCTGCAGCAAAATTAAGGAGAGAAAGTTGAAATCCGTAATCGATATTTTAATACAAGCATTCTTTTGCCCCCCCACCACCAACATAAAGTTTTCAGTTGATAAGAGATAGTGAAGACAAATGAAATTCGATGCATTTCACTATTTAAAAGTCGAAGAAAGCCAGGCTTGAAAAACTGAAAGAGAAAGTCGCAAGAGAAAATGTGGAGTGGAAAAAAAAAACGTGGTCGGCATTTAGAAGAAAAGCAGAAAATTGACTGTCTGGTCTCTGAGAGCCATCGACAAACACCCCAAACAGGAAAATTGGGGTCAAAATGTTGAGGGGGTTATGGCCTAGTTACCCCCTCTTGGCTTCAATTGGCTTGGGTGCTGCCGATCCCCCTTCTTTGGTCGAGAGTCGAGACACAAAGGTGGCGTCCAGAGAGGCAGCTGCGAGTTTTTTCCCCAGACGTCATCTTTTCAAAAAATATTTAAAAATATTTAAAAAATCACCAGCGGCTCCGAAATAGCCTGAAAACAACCCCCCGGGGGTCCTTTACTGATCCCCCTTGTGAGGGAACAAGGAAGACGCCCCAGGGTGGCACCCCGAAGTAAAACTCCAGGGCTCCCCATTCCCCTCCTCTCAGCCCCCTAGAGAAGCAACGTGCGGCATATTTCCCAGCGCCCGGGCAACATGGTGGGCTTTCAAAAATTAATTAAAAATAGATCGCAGCCACGGAGGGCTTCGCAAAAAGGCTGAAAATGTAGCCCAGGCTCCCCTCGTCTTGCTGGGACCCCCCTGAAGCCTGTCCCGGCGGGGGAAGGCGAAAACCACGCCGGTTTTGGCCAGGCGACCTTGCCGACAAGTTTCTGCAGCAGAAGCATGTCTTCCAGGGGGAAGACCACAGAAATCTCCCTGGTCCGAACAAAGAAAAGTTTCAGGCAGCGGCTCCCCCAGATTTTCAGCCCAGAGCCCGAACCTCCTGCTGGGTGCCCCACCAGCCCCCCACTTCCCCCCGGCGGGCTTCTCCCTCTCTAATTATTAATAAACACTTGGCCTTTGCAATAAAAGAACAAAGATGGCGCATAATACTGGCACGGGGAGCACTTGCATACGTGTCCATGGATATTAATTTAAAATAAAATCCCAGTCAAATGCATGGCAAGCTTGAGGGGCTGTCCAGGAACCTGGAAGGCGCATTCTGGGCTCCTAGGACCTAGTGATCCCACCTCAGGATCCCCTAGAAGTACCGGGAAAGGGGGGACGCGTTTGGGGACTTGCTCCCTTCTTTTTACCCGATTGCATTCTATATCGAATGGGGGGGGGGCATATGTATGACAGTGGGCGATCTATCGTTTGGCTTAGCAAAACTCTACAGCGAAGAAGAAAGGCAAGCGGACGGAGGTGTGTGTGTGCGGCGTGGGGGGAAGAACGCTATCTCCAGCAATATGTTTTAGGGTGCAGGAAATGGGTGGGGGTGGGGGGGCCGACACGGGACTGATTCGATTCCGACAAGCCCAAGCTTTTGCAAAGCACGTTTACCAACCTCCAACATCCAAGTGGCCACTATTTTCCTCATATATGGTAAGATCTCCTTCTGTACGCACTTGAAGTAGGAGACCGAGGGCGAGCAGGTCTCTTCTGCTTTCAGCATAGTCTGCAAGACCCTGTCATTGATAAGGTTGGCATCTAGGTAGGCTCTCCTGATGGTCTCCACTTCACAGCAGAGCAGCTGATGTTCCATGTCTGCCGCTGCCGCCGCCGCCTCCTTCTCCTGCAGGCAGCTTTGCTCAAAGGACTGACTCAGTCTCTGGCTCTTCCCCTTCCAGGAGTCCCTTAGATGCTGCTTGCTGCTACTGCTGCTACAGCCCTCTGGAGGCTGCAAAACTTTCTAACTTCCAACAAAACTCTCCTGTATGGGTCCCCGTGACGTTACTGTTGTTAAGCGGAGATCAAAGCGCCCAGAGAGAATGCGAAAGAGAGGGAGAGGGAGAGAAGCCAAAAGCAGGGGGCAGAGCCCTAAAGCCATCCCATAGGCTCCAAGTCCTTCCCCTTTCCTTCGCTGAGACAGAAGCCGAGCTTCTAATGCAAATGCAAATGAAGACAAGGGGTTGCTTTCTGTTTCGGGGGAAGGAGCGAGGTGGTGGGGGAAGCCCAACTTGTCTTTCCACTGGATCAGGCAGAATTTTAAGAAATGGAGAGGACTCCGGGGCCGAATGATGAATGAGACTAGGCCACACACAGACACTTATGGGCAGAGACAGGTTGGGAGTCGGGCGGCTGCGGGTTCACTGCAGAAGGCAAGGGGCAGCCCTACCGCCACCCTTTCCAACCAGCCCCAGCATTAGGAACCCAGCCTAGGAACTCAGCCTCATTTTCATGGGTTTTGCAGAGGCGCCTTACTCGTTTCCAGATAGAAGTAGGAAGGGGGAGAAAAGGGACTTTTAACCCTGGAGCAAAAGTTGCTATCATTGAACCTAGGCTTTATCACAAGGTTTCGGACCGGGGAAATAAACGAAATAATCTCATCACGCGTGTCCTTTTCATTTCATTTTAAAATTGAAGCAGGGCGGCCTTCTAAAAGGGCGTCATGGGCAAAGGCAGCCTAGAGAGGGCAGGATCGAGGGGCTATTCCGTCAACCGCAGGAGTCCACAAGCTCCCTTCAAGAGGCGACCATCTCCCCATGTGATTGCCTTTGCTGGGAAGTCAGCCCCTCGATCTCAGTGGGCTGCCCCCACGTGCATGTGTTTAGGATCGAGGTGTCAGCTGTGTGCACCTTCAAGCTGGAGGCATTCTCGCAGCAGCCCCCCGGGGAAGGCCAAGCCGGGCGGACTAAGATGGTGGCCACCATTTCCTCCACGGTGCTCCAGCCACGCCACGATGGAAGAGGAATGAGAAGGGCGGGCAGGGCCCATTCCAGGGCGGAAAGTGGGGAAGAGACTCGCAGGGCAGTGGACTTTCTCGAGGTGCCAGGGTTCCATCGTTTCTACCGGCGGATACGTCTTACAGCCGTCCCCAAAGCACATGTGGAACGAGGCTGTGCCTGGCTGTAAAATATGTCATTTTCACACTCGCACTTTCCACCACCCCCCTCCATTTTATTTTAAAAGCGCCTCTGAAAACTGGTATTATCTTCGTACTCCAGGCATGGCTTTTAGAAAGGAGGCATCTTCTAAGGCGCTGAAGGGGCAGGGCTTCTTTTTGTTCACTGTCAGGAACCCAAGTCTTCACTGGGGAGGGAAATTTATGGTACGGTACTAATCATGTTTCCTCGGAAGTCTCGCTGGTTTACTCTCAGGAATGGCCAGGATTGTATCCGCTGTGCTGTAGATTTATGGGCCACTTTTAGTACCTACCGAAGACAACGCCACAAATATGGGTACTGATCATCCTTCTGTTAGTCAAAGTTTAAGTTACGTTTTTCAAAATTGTCCAGAGAACTTGGCCACCTCAAATTTCACTTAAACTAAGTTGGATGATTGACGGTTCTTAAACAGATTTAAAGGAAGGGTGATGTGCTCTTATTTCCTTTGCATAAACCTCTCTCCCTGCCGTGCATCTTGATCCTATATGCATTTAGTAAATAGCACTACATTCAATGGAGGATGATTTCCAAATGGGATGACTGCAGTTGCTAGGTGGGCTCTAGAAACTCTGGCTCGGTTAAGTGAAGCACATGTATATAGTTCCATATCTAGATGATATTTCAAGAAGGTGGTGTGGTTTCCTGTACAGTTCATCTGTCTCCTTGGTGCCTTCTAACTGAAGCGAAGCAGAGTTGTGAAACGTTAAATAAACGCCAACAAATTCCAGCCACGCCTTGATATGCAAACTTAAATATGTTTTTGCATAATAATTCCTGGGTTTTCAAGCACTGGAATGAGTCCCCCCCCCATTCGGAAGCACTGACATTAGAGGGAGAGAGGATCTCTGTCCCCGCTTCAGAAGCTCATCACGTTACTTCTGACTCAATTTGCTTCTTAGCTTGCTTTTAGTAAATAAAACCCGGTCAATGGCCAGCTGTACACACTTTCGCTCTCCCAAACAATATTTACTTTGTGAAATCGGGTACCCTTTCGGAAAAAAAAGAACACGATGAGAGCAATGTTGCTTTTTTCATTCATAAAAGTCCGCCTCGGTATAGCAGAGCCCTTGATTTATGAGAGACGGAGTGGTATCAGCTACAGCTTTTCCGGAGCCCCCCTTCTACCACCACCACCCTCCAGCTGAGACGGCTGCACAGAAAGACCGGCTTCTGCTGCGTGTGGCAATATTGCAGGAGCGAGATCGCCCACTTAAAACAAAATTGGCTCTAATTCCTGGAGGGAACTCCCCCCCCCCTCCAACTGGGCTCCAATACAAGAGGAAACTGGAATTAGCATAAGCCAATAGGGGAATAGATCTGTTACCAGGCGGATCAGGCAGATCTGAACTAGGAACTTGTTTGATTTCGCTGACAAGACAAAAGGGGTCTGGTGAAAAGTGCGAGAGCTGCAGAAAAACGTGAAGGCTTGCCTAGCACGAGGGATAGAAAACTGTTGATGAGCTTTCTCACGTTCACGGTTGCACCTCTCTCTCTCTTTGTCACCCGTTTCGTCAAAGGGAAAGGGGTCGAATGATGATCTTTAATTTTGCAGAATAAGTACAAAATAGCTGCCATTTTGCAGTCGGGAATTCAAATTCTTTGCGTGGTGCACGTGTCTCTTCTTCACGCGGGCGGTTTAGAGATCAAAAAGGAGACCGCATGGGATGGATCTGATTAAACCTGAAAAGTATGCAGACGGAGAGTGATTTCAGCTTGTGGGTGGACGGCAAAAATGTGCATCTCATAATAAATGAATGGGGATTGACATTTGGAAGGTCACCCTTTACCGATTTCCTGAGCGGACTTGAGGTTGTTCAAAATGGGCAACTACCGACCCATCTTCTCAGGGTCATTTTCTCTTTCTGGCAGAAAAGAGGTAACACTCAGGTACTTCAGTCTGCCGTTCTGCGTCTAAGCGTGCCTTTCCATTTCTGCCACTTCGAGGCAAGCATTTTTCCCTCGTTCCCCAACGCCGGGAACCAGCCTTCTTTTGTTTGTAAGAATGCCATAAATTAAACAAACCACTTCCCACATGTGTAGGTGGAATCTCACCTTGAGCCAGATACCTGGCCGGCAACTTTAAAGGCGTTCTTTCCCTCCCCCCCTTCCGTCCCCTCTCCGTCAACATTTTCCATTGTTAAATTTTTCCAAGTCGCTCATTAGAAACCTGCAGCTCCTTCAGGTCTCACGTTCCGTTTTCACATGGGGCTTCCTGAAGCACGCACCCACTTCGTTTTTCATCCCCGGTGCATCCCCCGCCCCCCCGGCAAAGGATATGTGACTTTTGCACTGGCAGGTTTACCGAACTTGTCAGCAAAGGCACACCTCATTGTTCCAATTCAGGAGGCTGGGAGCTGTGTCAATCGGATCCACCCTTCGTATTATTAGTTGCAATCCAGAGATTTCTTTGGGATTAAATGTGACCCCCAAAGTAGAATCAAGTATCCCTCTAGGGCCTAGGACAAGAATGTGAGTGGGCATTGAGGCAAAGGGAGCCCCACAGACAAGAGGCCGCCGCGGGCGAACACACACAGACTCTCCAGCAGGCGGGTGCACAGCGTCGCTGGCTCCGCTACCTCCAGGCATTAGGCTGGCTATTAGTTCCGCTTCCCCCTCTTCTGCAAGAAGCCGGATTTGAAGAAGGGGAGCTATTTAGACACTTGGAAGATCACATCCGGAACCCAGAGACTCCGGAGTTGCCGGCGCTGGTCTAGTTAACCGGACGGTCTCGCCCCACACATCGTGGGGATATATGGGCTCTCACCCCCACCCCAGTTTGCCTTCCTCCCGCACATTTGGAGAGGCCAGGAATTAGATCTGTGGCTGTCGGCATACAAATAAGATCAGCGTGGCATGTTGTACCTTGAACGGGCTGGGTGGGGTATACTCGGGAGGTGCCTACCACACCACGCGCGCGATCCCCCCTCCCCGGGACTTGGCTTGTCTCCCATCGTTTAAAGCATGGCGTTTCTAGCCTACAGCGTCTGTCGCAATCGTTTACTTAGGGCTGGTTCCAACGCCGTGTTTCAGTTCGTGAAACCCTGTTGGCATATAACATTGCGCGTGGTGCTTTCCTCTCCTAGGTGGAGGGAATGGTACTCGATCTCGCCTTCTATCCTGCTTGGACGGGGTAGCAACATCAGAAAGTTGGAACTTCTGTTGGAGGAGTCTCGCAGGCAGAAGTTTCTCATGATGTAATCTGCATTCTTCTTCCTCTTCTCCCCCCACCCCCTCCGCAAAAAGTATATGCAACCTCTTTCAGAAAGGGGGACGTCGGGAACTTGGAACTTATCTGCTGCTGTGTTGGAGAGGTGTGGTCAGAACAGTTCCTGTAGCAGTTCTGTCTGGGGAACGAAGCCGTAATAACCATGGGATTAGGCATTCTTATTTAAAACGCAATGTCGCCAAGACTCCCCTTAGATGAGGGCCATTCGCTACATTGTACTTGCATGAAAGAGGAGGATCAAAATGCAACTGGATAATGCAGATCATGATCATTTCTGTGATCCGGGTTCTTTCCACGTCTATAAGGGTGGGAGGCTGCCGCTTTCCACTTTGGGGTGCTTAATACACGATATGTCATAGTTTATTTCTTTTGTGCAGTGTATTTTGGTGGGGGAAAGGGGGGCGGGAGCTCTTGCGTTTTAATCAGAAGAGACATCTAACGATCTCAGGACCAGGTTATCCATTTTCCCACGCCAAACTGAAAAGCCCTAACCACGTTAAAAATAAATAAAACACCTAGACTCCTCCAAAGTAAGCAAGGTTTTGTGCCGACGTCGAAGCTGGGGGAAATATAGCATGAGATCACTTTAATTGGGGCTTCTGTCTTCTGATCATTAAATGGAAGCGCGGCGAATTCCTATCATTCCTGCCTGCGCCTAAGTTAACAAGCCCACATGGTTTCTCTTATCACCACCGCGCACCGTAA